TACCTCGTGCGCCCGCGGCAGCCGCTGCACTCCGTCCCGGGCGGGAGGCGCACGAGGTAAGGGCGCGATCCCCCGCGCGGAGGGCCGCCAGCAGCCGGGCGTCTGTGCCGCGGCGGGCGGGCGGGCGGGCGGGCAGGGCAGGGCAGCGGGGTCCCGCCGCGCCGGCGGGCCCAGCCGCGGCAGCCGACGGGCGCTGCGGGAGCCGCGCATTTCGCTCCGGCGGCCGGGATGCCGCGGCGCGCTCCGCGAGTCGCGCTCGTTGGGCGGCTTCGAGGCGCAAAGCTGCGCGGGGTCTCCGCGAGCGCAAGTGCCAAGCTGCGCCCGGCGTGCGTCCTTTTAATATGCCAATCTGGCCCCCACCGCAGCCCTTCGAAAGGCGAATTTGTACATCTTTGGAATATTCCGCTTGCTTGCTCGATGATTGATTTGATTCGGCGTCAGCAACAGTTTTTCTTGCTCTAAGAATGGAGTAGCACCTGTAAAACCCGGAAGGTGGGTTTGGGGGATTCCTGGAGTTGGAGACCAACACACCTGGCAGGTGCCTGGTTGCTGAAGGCTGCCCTGGAGGGCTGCTGACTGGCGGAGCTGACGCAGACTGGACGGTTCAGCGGGGTTAGTACTCCTTAGAGTGTTGTTGTTGTTCTGTACTTAAATCCTGCCTTTTCTCCTCTTCCGAGGAACCCCAGGGGGCTTACACAGCTCCATTTTAACCTCACAACAACAACCCTGTGGGGTAGGTTGGGCTGAGAAGGAGTGACTGACCCACAGTCCCCCAGAGAGCTCCATGGCTGAGCGGGGACTCGAACCCGGATCTTGCCGGTCCCAGTCCAGCCGTTGCTCAACTACACCACACTGTCTAGACTAGACCCACGGAAACTATTGTTAGATTAACACTGGATAGATCTGAGAGGGAGGGTCATCTCCTGAGTTATGAATGATTTCTGGAAGGGACAGGAATCCCTGATGCCTCCCCTGGAAAATTCTGCTTTGCCCCGGTGCATTTAAGGAACTTGCGGAGCAGGTGCAGGACGGCAGCTTGGATGGGGACAGCGGTACGGAAGCAAAAGGGTTTAAACCCCTTTCGTTGTGCTTGTTGCTCAATTCAAAGCCCCTGCTTCTGACTAAACAGTGGGGGGGGGGTCAGGGAAGCAAGACAGGTAAGAAGTACCTGTGACTTCCCAGGAACAGTAACCAATAGCAACATTGGGGTAATTTAAGGCCCCCGTTCTTTTGGGTCTCCGAATGGGTGTGAAAAGACATCTCTTTGATTAACTTGTTTAATTGTATGATTGTTTTAATGTGTTTAATGGTTGTAAATGGCTACGTGCTGCCTGATAGTTTGTATGTTCCTGGAACACTGCCCCCCTCCCGCCTTTAGGATAAAGAGAAAGACATGGGGGGGGGGTCCTCACAGCGCTCCTGTACCCTTTGTAGATCAGCTTGGAGCCACTTGTGACCCCCTGCAAATCTCCCAGCTCTGGTAAAGGAGGGAGCCCATGGCCAGCAAGGCTCGTGGCCACGGATCGCCCTCTCCCTCGTGAATCCCTCTGGTCCCCTTTTGACGCCTTCCGGAACGGCCCCCATGGCCGCTTCCCACGGCAGCAGATTCCGCAGTTTAACTGTGAAGGACTTCCTTTTAGCTATCATGAACCTCCCACCCATCAGCTTCATGGAAGACTTCAAATGTTATGGGGGAGGGAGAAAAAATCCTCCCTCTCCACTTTCTGCACACCAGATATAATTTTAAACGCCTCCATCATGTCTCCCCGTGCCGTTTTTCTCAGGCTGAACAGTCCCAGTTGCTGTAGCTGCTCCCAACTGGCTTCTGTTCAGATATGTTAGACTACCGTTCCCATCGTCCACACCCCTTAGCCACGCTGGTTGGGGGCTGAGGAGCATTCGTTACACGTATACCCCGCTTTTCTCCCCCTGCCCCCGAGGCAGTGCGCCCAGTCTTCCTCATCTTCATGTTGTCCTTGCAACAGCCGTGGGAGGTCACAGGCCCGACGTCACCCGGTGAGCAGCACTGCCCAGTGGGGCCTAGGGGCTGGATCGCCCTATGCTCTGGCACTCTGACCACTACACCACCCTGCCACCCAGGGGTGGAGTTGCAGTTGACCTGGAGGCCACCAGCTTGGGAAAGGTCACCGAAAGGACACCATTTCCCCAAACTTGAACAGGATTCGAACAAATATCTACATAAAAACAGTGGGATCTAGTACACTTCCTAGGAATCGTCTTTGAAGTTCTTATGGTTCAGAAGTAGATGTTATAGGAACAATAGAGAACAATAGATGTTATATTAGAAGTAGATGTTATAGGAACAATACAGATGGGATGGATGCGTCTGCATGTTTTGGCAACAGGTGAGACGCTCTTCCTTTCACGGATCTAGCAGCATCTTCAAGAGGACAGATGCGAAAGCGTGCAGTGCGGTTAGTTTGCTTTCTTCTTGGCCTAAATTATTAGTGGATGTAGGGCCCACCCCAAAATGGAGCCTCCTTTATGGAAAGCCTTGCTTCGGGGTTAAAAGTATTTCTTTCTGATACAATAATTTATGCAAACACAGTTTTCCCTTGGACTGAGTGAGAGGTTTGCTTGGTTTGGGAGGGAAAGGAAATTGCATCCCAAGTAGGTCTCGGCAGGATGATAGAAAAGAACGCTGCCTATCTCTGCGAAAACGGCATGAAACCCGCATGTTCGGAGACAGTGGGGACCCCTTGGTGGATGCCTTTCCCTCCCTCTTTGAACCTCCCAGACCTGTCTGGCTGACCACTCTTGGAAACAGGGCACTAGATTGGATGGTGCCTGGTCTGATCCAGCAGGGTGCGTCTTATGCAGTGTAGCGTTCACACGTGGCAGTTAGAACATGCTGGAGTATGACAGGGACCGATACCTGCCGTGTTACTCGGGCTTCGTGTTCAACGACGAACGAAATCTGCCTGCTCATTGTGATGTGACTTTGTAGCTATTGTTGCCAAGGGGGTATTTTCCGGCAGCTGGTTTTCCAGGGGATCTGGCTGGCAAAGCTTCCAACAGTCGTTGTCTTAATTCCTTGAGGCACAGATCCTTGCTGTGCTTTGCTATCTGGCTGCCGAGAAGCCCTTGCCAAAATTATTTTAACCTTGAGTGGGGGCAGCGAGAGGGATTTTGCAAGGGGAATAAAACTTGCACAACAGGTCAACATGGACATAGCTGCCTTAATTTATTCTGGTAACGGGATTTGCGAGTTCCAGCTTGTTTTAAATCAGCTTTGGTTGGTTTAGAACATTGCTGGGAAAATGCAAGGTTTCCTAGCCTAGCTGTCCAAGATCATTAAAAAAAAATGGTATTTTACTGTGGGTAGCAGGGGTTGGACCTTGGACCTTCCACCTGTAAGTGGTTGTTCTGCCATCAAACCATGGCAGTTCCATTTACTTCTATGTGAGCTGGTACAGTCCTACCCAAGCAGATACCTGCAGGAAGGGAAGAGACCTCAGAGTCCATCTTGTCCAGCACCTGCCAGGGCAAGATCTCCACTGCTACAGGACCCAGACAGGAGCTTTTGTTTAAAAAAATTCTACAGCACCCTCATCAGAGTATATCCCATTGCCGGACTTGACTGTGCCTTTAACAAATGGCCACAGATTGGATTGAACAGTTCATATGGTGCCACAGCAATTTTCACTGTATCTTATTGATGTAATTCCCCTTTCCCTCAATCTCCAAGCCAGTTAGAAGCATAGAAACAGAGCGAGTTAGAAGGGGCCTCCAGGGCCATCCAGTCTGACCCCCAGCTCCAGCCGGCTCCGCTTATGACATGCCCACCATGTGCACGTCCAGCCTGTCCTTGAGCACCCTCACCGATGGGGCCTCAATGACCTCCCGTGGGAGCCCATTCCACACCCTCGGGGTCCTCACTGTCAGGAAGTGCTTCCTGGCATCCAAATGGAACCTGGGTTCCCTCAGTTACACAATTTATTACAGTTACCGAAAATGTATAGGCAGGCTTGCTGCAAAACTGAGTTCAATACACACATGCATACACAAACATCAACATGTTAACAGTGCACAGAGATATGTATGAATAATTCAGTTGCGATAGTTCAGTTAATAGACACGACGCCAGCAATTCAACAGCTAATAAACCTGTCACTGAATCATAGATTAGCGCAGAGATAGTCAAATATTAACGTACAAACTAGCCATGATATAAATGATGGTTATCCAGGGTAGCGATAGTAGAAGTAAATATTTCGTAATCATACAAACCCCCCGTTTACTCTGCTGAAGTTCCTGCCTCTACCAAATTTATCCAAAGATTAGCATCGATGACCTGCCCAGCTTTTTATCCCTGATGGCTGAAAAACAGGTGTTCGCTAATGGTTCGTGGGACTAAAGTGCTGCATGATAGGGTCATTCAAGAGAAGGTGCTGTGTTTTGAGAAGAGAGCACGCCGTGGTTCCGGATTCCGGGGCTGCGTTGGGCCGGAAGGTGTGTTTACTCAGAGCATGTGTTAATCCTAATAGCTCGATGCTCGGCAGTTCCCTTTCAAGCACTTAAGAAACATTTCAGTTGGTGCTTTGCAGCTGCTCTGTGGATGGAAGATAATGAAAATGGGTCGGAACCTTATTACTTTTCAGAGAACGGTTTTAGGTTTGAAAGTACTCGCTGGGAGAATGTCTTCAATTATATCTATTCATCACGGGGAGGAAAAAACTGCATTTGCTCTGCGGCAAACACCCCAGCGGGGAGACGTTAGGATCGTAGAATAGTAGCGTTGGAAGGGGCCATGAGGACCACTGGATCCAACGCCCTGCTCAGCGCAGGACACCAAGTGGTCTTTGCACCCTGGTTTTGACTTCCACAGTCTGTCCAACCCTGTTTGGGAGGAGGATGCTTCCTTTGTCCTTATGCCATCCATGGAAAAGCTGCTGGATGGTCTTTGTGGCACAGAGGGGCTTGGCAGGGGTGCCTCCTGCCAGTTTGATCGAGGAAACGCTCTGTTCGCAAGGACCATTCCACGCAGGACCCCAGAGGCAAACCTCGATTACCCTCCGACCGCACACTCATGTGC